AAAAAAAAACGTTTATATTACAAATTCAATCTAATAAAATTCAGAAGCTTTTATGGAAGAACTTGAATTTAATCAAATAGCAAGGGTGAACGATATATTGATTGAAATTGCATAAATGGATAATTCATATTTCATAGATTCGTTGGCCTTCTCCATTTATGATTATTTCAGTTTAACACACTTCTGTTAATGGTATTAAATAATAACTACATAGTTTTGATAACACTTTTTTGCTTGAATAAGCAATTTAATTACTAATATTTATTCATATAATGATATTTGATACTGTTCATTTTAAGTAAAATTTCAGAAATTTATTTACGAAACTATTATACTAAAGAGCTTTAGTACTACTAAATAACTGTTTATCATATTCAAGGTAAAATTAAATCTATGAGAAATAATCAAGAAATGTCAGTAACAACCGTCAACCACGTGTTATTTTTGTTCATAAAATAGCCAGTTTTTTTAGGTTAAGCTTTCTTTTTATAGCATTTTCTAAATACTTACCAGTATTATCGGCGCAATTTATAACTGCCCCAACTGGTAAGCCCAGTGATATCCTAAATTTTGCTCCGGCAGAACCACCACGTCCTTGAAAAATAATAATTCCACATTAGTCCTTCCTATTAATGTGCATGTCTAACGGGGTATTTTTCTCCAATACAATCATCGATTTATCCAGGTTCTGTTGCTATTAGTGAAAAATTATTTTTCCAACTGTATATTACAAGCATTCGTTTGACATTTGTCCATTCCTTTTTAAATTGATGGCTAACATTTTAATGGATTTCGTTGCATTTTCGTTGGATTTGGAAAAACAACTTACCTCTCTTCGACATCTTGCTGTGTTTAAAAGGGAAAGAAACTGCTGTTTATCGCGCATTAACTTTCGCGCAATCACGAATCGCTTCCGACGCGGGGTATTTGCATTGTTCAAATTTCAAATTAATTCTTTGTCAAGAAATTATCGTAATTAATTTGACACAGCTAAAAAGGTACAACTCTAGTATTCTCCTTCCATCGTGTTATTAATGAATTTTATATAATACATTTAATTTACTATATATACTTATATAAAATTATCTCTGCTATAAATTGTTTAGTTCTCATTTAAGAAAATGAGGAATATTTTATTTTAAATATATGTATACATTTTCATCCAAGTAGTAGTAGTATTTCAATTAATTAAGTATCATTAATCTATATATATTTAATACTATATACATTTTTGTTTTGAACTATGTTACAAATTAGTCAATCTTATTTGTATATATGTAATTATAATTATTATTATAGATTTACAATTACTTGTTTTTGCCGTTATATAAGAATGTTAATAAACATATAGTGTATAACAATTAATTAAATATTTAATATCTCAAATTAAAAATTAATAAGCATTAAAGTAAACATATAATGTAATTACATAAATATTTAGTACATATACTTTATTTAATGGCTATTTAATTATAATGTAAGTGCTTTAAGAAGAATACAATATTATATTATAACAATTTCACTGCATTAATTTTTATTATAAAAAAGAATCGATATTCCCTTCGCCGATTTTCCTTGTTCTGTCATTTGATGTAGCTCAGAGTAGAGCAAAGTAATTAAATTCCACGTTGTTATTAGTATTACACTTACCAGATAAAATGCCCTGTCCCTTGTTAGCAGATTCTATCACTCTAGAATTGGAAGGTAACTATTAAAACTTTATTTCAATACATACTTTGCGTTTAAGTTCTGACTGCCATGAAACTTAACCTTGTCTCTCAAATTTACGTTATTTATTCACTTTTTTTATGCGTCCTTAAATAATGGCTAAACTTTCACATAAAAGATACTATATTTCTTTTGTAAAGCTTTTTTTAGTTTCGTCATTTGTCTTTTATCTCATGTTTTTCTCATAATTATGCAAAACCTGAGTATTATTGTTTAGAAACCCTAATTAATACTCTTTTCTTTAGCACAAGAGCCATGGCCTCAGCCAATTACTTTGTATCAAC